GTGTGTGCTTGAATCACATCATTTTGAAAAAATGTTTTGGAATAGTAGATTGATGGAGAATGTGTGATTAAAAAATGAGAAAAAGTTCTAAATTTACGTGTAATTTATTTTATTGAAAAATGTGTGATTAAAATGAGGTCAAATCACTATTTATTTGAAAGAATGTGGCTCAAACAGGGAGTTAATATTAAGACAATTGTGCCGCAATATTCTAATAAAAATATAGGTGTGTATGATATAAATAAATATTATTTTATGTAGAATGTGCAATTTATAAATTAATAGCACTTTTTAGTTATGCTGCAAAACAATTTAGCCCTGTTTGATATTCATTATTTGAGAAATTAAAGAGTTTGAAAAGTATTTGTTGAGAATATGTAGTTAAAAAATAAAGAAAATTTATTGCTTTGTATATAGAATATTTTATTTTGTGAATGTATAATGGAGAATTATACTGTAGAAAATAATTTAAAACCATGTTTTATTACATTCTTTTTAAAAAATACATTTTTAAATGTTGATTTGACATCATTTTAACTATATATTCTTTAATAAAATAATATTATATGCAAATTTAAAACATTTCTTTATTTGTTAACTAAATATTTTTTATCAATATACTATTCAAAAATATATTCTCATAAAAATAATGTGGCTCAAACAATGGCTAAAATTTTAAAGGCTGTCACACATACCCTCATTTAACATTCATAGTAGAATTCTCTATGCTAAAAGTCTCACTCACAATAGATATAAATGAATGACAACTAAGTAAATAATATATATATGAATCTTATGAATATGTGTTTAAAAAATAATTTGACTATTTATAAATAATTATAAAGGGAGCCAAACGTGGGCTTGGTCATAAGTTTTAATAAAAAAATAGATCTTTAGTTAGATTTTAATAAAAATTTGTGAAATATATGGTTAAAAATTGAAAAAAATTAGTAGGTTCTATAAGAGTCTGTTTGGGAGTGATTTTGAGAATTTATTTTTTGACCGTTCAGAGAAAAATGGAGTTCACCTGTGAGAGAAAAAGTCAAATATGACAGTTGAAATAGTGAAATAACGGTCAAAAAATCAATTTTTTTAATGAAAAAAATCGCTCCAATACAGGTCTAAAATTTGTAATTGAAAATGAATTTTAACAAAGGGTGACGTTGACAAAATTTTCAATTTCAAACTTATTTTTTACTCGGCTAAGACTCGTCCACGTGTCATTTTCTTATTCGTTATTCTCTAGATCTCCCTTACCCATTGGGCAGCTTGTCCTATAGACTTTTGTACATTGCATAATTACGCTACGCCAAAGAAAATTTCAATCACCTTCATAGACTTCTCTGCGTTTCTCACAAAGAACCAAAAATACAGATATAGAGAGAACAGCAATGGGGGGTGAGAGTTGGAGCTTAACAGCAAAGCTATGTAATTCCTGCAAATCTTCGCCGGCGAGTGTTTTTTGCCGGGCCGACACGGCGTTTTTGTGCCACGACTGCGACGCCAGGGTGCACGACGCCAACAAGGCGGCGTCCCGGCATGCCAGGGTGTTGGTGTGCGAAGTGTGCGAGCAAGCGCCAGCCATAGTCACCTGCAAGGCCGACGCGGCGGCCCTCTGCGCCACCTGTGACCGTGACATACACTCGGCTAATCCACTTGCCAGCCGCCACGAACGCCTCCCCGTCGTACCCTTCTACGAGCCGTCGCAGAATAATATCAATAACGAGAACAAGTGCTTCTCTGAAGACGAGGCCGAAGCAGCCTCCTGGCTGTTGCCGACACCTCATATGAAAGGAGGGACCTCAGAGGTATATATTGGGTTTATTATCGTTTTCATATTTATTAATAGGAGTAGCTGAGTAACATACCTGAGATTTTACCCTTGATAGGATGATGATTCCGACTCGCCAAAATACAAGTCCGGCCAGTATTTGTTCAGCGACATGGATCCACGTCTGGATCTGGGTATAATTTCCGGTGACCAGAAGAAACAACACCGTACGAATGATCCAAAGCATTGCCAGTACAGTTCAGATGGGGTTGTGCCTGTGCAAAACAAGAATGATTTTCAGCAGAATCCATTTCAGGGTCCAGTTGTGAATGGATTCCCTACTTTCGATACGGATTATAATACTGGATCCAAGCCCTTCATGTACAATTTCAGCTCCCAATCCATCAGCCAAAGTGTATGCTTTTTTAACCTAAATTTGTCTGTTTTTCACATTTCTGTCCATATTCTTTACCTTATAGTACTGTTTAGCTAACTTGATTGAACTTTGAACATAGATCCATGATAATTCATATGTTTAACTTATTCTACAAATCGATGTTCAATGGGTGTGTCGCCTTGCAAAGGTTTAATCGGGCACTAATAGGTTCTCGAGTGAGTTTTGTATCACACAATAGTGTTGGAGTATGTAAGTCTAGAGTACACTTATCATCGACATATCAGAGATGATTTTGGGTGCACGAGATGTGTGAGAAAAACTTGTATTATCTTCTATATTATAGTGAAATCCCATGGCAGCGAGTTGACATAGCTCTCACGTTGAAGTTGAGTTTGTATATCGATTGTTTTTTATTTATTATGTTCTAAGAACAAGGGATTAGAGCTTAATTCATTAGAATACCAACAACAAAAGGTAAATTTCAAGAAACCAAAACAAAAATAGATACTCTCATGTTTTGCTAACAATATATGTTTTTGCAACAACTATGGCAGGTCTCATCATCTTCTTTGGAAGTTGGCGTTGTACCGGACCCCAGTTCGATGGCTGACGTATCGACTCTTGTGAAAAATGACGGGTTTCCGAACCCAGTTTCCGGCATGGACAGAGAAGCCAGGGTCTTGAGGTATAGAGAGAAAAGAAAGAACAGAAAATTTGAGAAGACAATAAGATATGCATCAAGAAAGGCTTATGCAGAAACCAGACCGAGAATCAAAGGGAGATTCGCTAAGCGTTCAGAAAATGGGATAGAATCCCTCATGGTTCCAACTTTTTAATTATAAGCAAATTAATTTTGGAGTTTTTGTGCAAGAGGATGATGATGATGTGTACATATATTTAGGTTATGACTTTTGGTGCGTGCTTGATCGATGTTTTATTACTATAATAATTGATTTTCTACTTCGATTTGTTTTTGTTTGTCCAATGTTATAATCAAATTATTCATGACATAAAATATTTCTCCTCGTCCACATTGGATAGGAGTCTTAACGCCGCTAATGTGGTGTTGTCATGCGCAAGTCAAACTTTTTTGCTTGTGGAAAAAAAAATTTGACTTGACCTTTGATGTGTTAACATTATGTTAGCGGTGGGCAAGAAATCAGCTATGGGTCTATGTATTTTCTTGAAAAAATTTTGTGCTCAAATTAAATATGACAGTCCTGCTCCTTGTCCCGAGTTGGGAACAGGGGCACCACATGGCCGGCGCCCCCTATTGCCCATGTGGCAGCCTTGTCTTCCTCCCTGTCCCCAACCCGGGACAGGGAGACTTATTCTAAATATTACACACTTGTGATAGTATCATTAGCCCTATTCTTTTCGACAAGATTGAGGACGAAATTTGCCTAGTTTGAATTAAGAGCCATTCCCCGTGTACCGGAGAATTGTCGCATTCATTGTTACATATGCTGCTCTCTCTCTCTCTCTCTCTCTTTTTTTTTTATTTTTTTTTTTATTTTTGCCATTTTCCAATGGAAAATCCCCAAGTGTTATTCGTAGAAATTCTAACCTTTTTTCTGTACCTACAATAGCTCTCTTGAATTAATACTTCAGTGATAAAAGCAAGCAACTAACCATTAATTGAGATGATGTGCACACTTTGTTCTTTTTCATCATCTTGAATATGAATTATTTGATGGTATTCACATTTCTCGAACAATATATTATCAGAAATAATAAATGTGAAAGGTCATTTTATTGATACGATTTAAAAGGTTGAACTCCAACCTTAAAGGTCTTCCAACGCCCTGCCCCTAGAGAATCGTGAGAAAGGTTAATCGTGAGATGTGCTCTAGTAGGTTAGGGAGCAAGAGTTGTTTGTACACTGATACACATAAAGAATCTCAATCCATGTGTTAGGAATCAAACCTTCACACTGCGGCTGCTAGCAAGATTGAGTATACTTCACCCTTATTCTTTACACCACTGAGACATATCCCAGGGGACCATTTTATTGATACGATTTTGTATTAGAGTAAGAGGTCTAAGGCGGTCCACATTCTATTCACGTGGCCCGTACCTGGCCAAGTCAGGTGGCACGTGGTCCATGCGAGCCGGTCCAAATCCAAACGTCAAGAGTTTTAGCTATTAGGACCCTTGATTGAAACTAGAAGGACGTATTTCGTGGTTTGACAAAATTTGTTAAACTGTGTCAAATCATGGGTATTTTTTGTATTTAATACTCTACCAAATATTGAAAATGTAATATTCCAATGAAAAGTTGTAACTGAACATAACGTTAATATTAAAAAGTATTCTTAATCCAGGTAAATTTTCGCCTCTTTCTTTAAAATATTTTATATAGATTTAAGAAAATCTCTTATTCAAATAAGCCTTATTACTTTTGATATGCTCCCCTTTCAATTATCATTTTCAAAAATACTATCTCGAATCTACACAATTTTATTTATTAAAAGAGGGAAGTACTCCAAAGATACAAAACATGATTAGTAAGTGTAAATATAGACCACTATCGAGTTATGTAACTTGCATTGTGTGAATAATTAAGACAAGAATTCAAACAAATCAAACTGTATTTTGACTATAAAAAAGTCACTTTATACTATTAATAAGTATTAGTAAGACAAATTCACATATTAAAATAAGTAGCAATAACAATTAAATTCAGAATATTTGTTTTTCTTTATATATTACATTGAATCACTTCATTTACAAAATTACTACTAAAAGAGAATAAAATTAATTATTTATAGATATATTTTTTTTACTTCAATAATATTCTGTCAAATACACGGACAAATGCCATCAAGATCATGTTATGAACATAAAATTTGATAACTCATAAATATATTCATTAACTTTGGAGAAGATATGAATAGTTCGTCTATTCGGCATGCGGTATTAGACAACATTATTAGAAGTAGATGTGTTCAAAGCCATAATCTCAAGCTGATCTTGCATCACTACAGAATATGAAACTACGAAATTTCTCCGTGCTTTCTTTGTTAAGTTTCAATCCATATGACGCCCTTTTTGTAGAAGTACGAACCTGAGATATTTAATTTTCACCTGAGAAACAAATATGCTTCAAGTTGTTTATCAGTCTTACATGCAAATCATGAACCTTTTAAGCCTTCCCAATGAACTCCACATCGAACAAAAGAACTGAGTCAGGCGGAATAATGCATGTACCTGAAAATGAAAACAATAGTAAGTGGTTCAAAAGTTTTGTACCATGTTCATTTTCTAAGTTATCAAGAGGCCCAAGCAGAAAACTGTTGAAGAATTCGAGATTTGTTTACCTCCTTTGCATCCTGCTCCTCTCATTCCATATCCAAGTTCTGGAGGAATCCTCAGCTTACGCTTTCCTCCTAAAAGAGGTCACATACAATATGTCCAAGATTATAAATACGATCAATCAAAAGTACAAGGCAAATTTCATATTAAAAGAATGCTTATATACCAGCAAGCATGGCAGGAACTCCATCAACTCCTAGTATTCCCTGATCCCATCCCTTGATAACCTATGACACATGAAGTCACCTTCCAATTGTGATGATCATGCAGGCATTATAATTTTCTATCATAAGATGAAAGTAGCGGAAATGAGGATGCTAAGATGTATGTGTGATTGTACTAAAATTTACAAGATAAGAAATGAAAAGTAGATGCCAACAAGTGAAGGTAGCGCCAATTGAGGATTAAACAAGAGAAAATCACTTGGGAGGCTGAGAAATGTTTTGCCTATGCTTCCTAGTCATAAGAGTAGCCTGGTCTTGGAGAACTTGTCAAAAGAGGGAGGAATAGACCAAAAATAACATTGTTAGTGTTTTATATTATCATGTACATCTAGCAATAAACTGAATGATAAGGCGGAGAAAGATTCTTGAAGCTGACTCTATATTTATTTGGGAAATGGCTAAATTTGTTGCTGTTGTTGTTGTCAGTTGGTTTGAGCCAATACATTTTGTAGATCAACAAATCTATTCCAGAACTCTGTTTCTTAATCAGTTTGGGTAGTTTTTGCACATCAATACACTGGGCAAGAAAGAGGACAAGCACTGGTTATTAAAGTCCAATTGTAAGAAATGCCAAATGTTTAAAATTTCTAATCATGCCCCATTTTATTATTTATTATTATTATTATTTTTTTCCAAGTAACAAATTCACAATCAACTACAAAGAGAACATGGATCATAAAAATGACTGGCAACGGCAACAAAAACAACAGTCTTTACCTATGGGAAAAAGGAATGGCGGGATACATAATAAACTCCATAGATCAGCTGATGAAATTGCATTGCAATTAGAAGGCGGCCTCAGGCATACTAAGTAAAAAGAGCTTGGAATTGGCCACTGCCTCGGAGTTTTCGCTGTAGTTGAAGAATGTTGCTATTTTCTTTTATGATCGATAACTAGTGGATTTTTCTTCATTATTGATTGAAGTAGTGGATTTCTTTCGATATTTAGTATTCATTTTAAGAGGCATATGCTCCTCTGAGGTCTATGAGGTGTATTACGCCGATTACTATTTTTGGCTATGCATTTAAATGTCAAGTTCTTAAAAGTATTACTATTTGGATGCATGAATGGTAACACAAGTTTTTGGTTGTTGACTGACACCATTATGCCCTCACTGTTTAGTACTAAGAAGCATTTAAAACGGAAAATTTCTCCTCAAGCAGAAGAGAAATCTAAGGTTAGCTAACCACTTGCCCCCAGGGCATATCTCCCAGTGGCAAAGGGGAGGGCGGATAGGGCTCAGCGCGACAGTGTGCAGAGTTCGATTCTCCGCAAGGTGGAATTGATTTTGTTGCAAGCGGGAGTTACCATATGAGTTAACAACCTTGGCCTATCCATATGCTCTCCACCCTAACTCCTGGGAGGCACATCCTGCGATTTACCTCCTCCACGATGGCCCAGGACAGGGTCGGTGGGGGCCCTTAAGGTTGGGGTTCAACCTAAGGTTAGCTAACCACACTTACATTTTGGAAAGCAGTTGATTTCAGAGAGATGGCAAATTTTACTGTTAATAATTCGGACGAACCATATTTGTTAATGCACATACCTCGCCAACACCAATACGAAATGAAATGGGCTTTCCACGATTGTAGCTACTATCGAAGACCTTCCCATCTTCGAGCTTCCCTACATAATGTGCCTGAGAAAATTCAAATCACATTATCAGAAACTACTTGTGTACAAGCTAATGTGTCTAAAATTTTGTATCTTAGGAAATCTAACAAGCAATTGCACTCAGTTATGACCATATTGAGCTATTTGAAGCATTCGCCAGCAGTTTAGCCGTGCTTAAAAATCACTTCTTTTGGCCGTTGCCAAAGCAGCTAAAAGGCCACTTTCTAAAACTTGGCAGAACTATTCTAAATAAGAAACTTGAGAACTATGTATTTCACTGTAGACACTATGAGAATGCCATTCTGAAAAATTTTGGAAATAAGAATCTCCAAATACCTTAATCAATTGCCCTTTAACAGCCTGGGGACCATATCCAACAACTTGATCGCAATAAGCAAGTCCAGACGGAGTTACAGTGAACTCACAAGAAGCAGATTCGTCAGCTGAGGCAGGATGTGGCTGTGAAAGAAACTGCAGAATACCAAAAGAGAACCCAATGCCCAGTGCTTCTCTTCTGCTCAACAAATTGGGATTTTCAATTACTGGTACAGATTGAGATTTATATTGTGGGTTAGGGATTTTGATTGAAGATGATTCAACTGTGTGAGAGTTTAGAATGGTAATGGATGGTTTGTGGTGTGTGGGACTGCGAATTCCCAGGGAGAATAGCAATGAGTTCATCGTAACCAACCAGAACTTGAAGAGGGATAAGAAAATTATAGTTGAATGCCGTTAAGAGCTTAATATTCCAATAAAAATCAAGTACTCCCTCCTTACTTACCATTTTTCTTACATTTTTTTTTTCTAATATACCCTTACATTAAATCATAATTTAAATATAATTAATTTATTTTTATTGATAACAAGATACATTACATATGAGTATATTAAAAAGTTAAATAATATCTATACTTTTAATAAGAAAAATAATCTATAATATGTTAGAACATCTTTTAAAAGTTTTAAACTTTCACAACAAATATTAATTTTTAATTTTGATTTTAATAATAACTTTTAGTATAAAACTAAATCTCATAATTTAGGTTGTAATTTAAGAATAAAAGCTTCAACTTTTCAAATTAAAACCTTTTAATTTTAGTTTTAACATAAAATTAAAACACCATATTTCATAATGTAAATTATATTTTAATTGTGATAATTCTCATTAGTGTGGCGGTTAAGTTTTACACTATAAAAAGGAGTTAATTTTATAGTTTGGCATAACAACTTGAAGTATTGTCTTCTATACAATTTTATATTATATTCATATTATTTTGGCAACTCGATAAGAGATTCGTTCATTTATCTCCCTATGATCGTGTCCATAGTGTCGAAAGAATTTGTACGAAGAGGAGGCAACAAAATTTTAGGATAGCGTCCTTGACGTAACTCCCAATGCTCACTTCTTTTCTAACTCTCCTCCAGTTATATTTTATGTTCATGTTATTATTGAATTCTTATAGTTATTATTATAGTTGAATTAATATATTAATGTTATGTTTATTATGATAAATATCTACACACAAATCACCAAATTTTCACAACAATCTAAGTCTTGTATGTAGACAATTCTTGTTGTATTCTTTAATAAATAAAATCATTATGCATGTTTAACTTGTCCGCTTATTTCCATAATACTAGTTATAAACTCTAGAAACTACACTATTAGCTTATCAGAAGTCACGTGTGTATCTATTGAATTGGTGAATCTTGCAAGTGGAAAATAAATAATTGACATCTTCTTTGTGGTGCTTGCTTGGTAGACTCCTCCCTTTACATCTGTTATCAGTAGATTGAAATTTTACAAGTCTGTCAATAGAATGCTAAAACTGCTTGATTTGAAAGGAAGAAGGTATGTTCTATCGTAAATGATTTTCCAATTCATGGCATATTTGGTATTACCTTCTTTATTAGATTTTGTATTACCAAGTGCTTGATGGACTGATTGTGCTCGTCAATCCAGTTACTTTAAAGATTATCAAAATAAAATTTTAAATTTGAGATATGAACTGAAAATGTAGGTGAGTTTTCTCCATACCGAATGAGATAAGTGTAAATGTGTATATTGAAAACATAAAAGAGTACTAGATATAGGTTATGAGATGTAGCATGTAATACGAGCTTTGCTACATGTATCCGGGTGTTTACATGCCCCTCACATGGGGGGCGGGTCCCACGCATTTATTGTGCATGGGCACCGCCCCCCATGTGAGGGGCGTGTAAACGCCTGGGTACAAATAGCATTTTCCTTCTTACTAATCTGGTGGAAGTGGAGAAAAATGTTCACGCAACAATTGGCATGCTTATTCTATTGTAAGACACACAAACAATATTATAAGAATGATGAGGGTGCAATAGATGATGCTTCAAAGCCATAGTAGAACCAAATCTCAACTGCTATGGAAACTTTTTGCAGCCCTTTTGTTGGTTCAGATTTCCGGGATGGAGTGTGCATATAAAGTATATCACATACATTTAACTCACTCTTAAGATTTCCAAGTAATAGAACTTACTAAGAAGTGATTGTTGTTTTTAGAGTTTGACGTTACTCCTTCGAAACCAATCCAACAGAATCACCTGAATGTAAGAAATAATCAACAAGATCCAAAATGTAATTCGAGCCCACCGACTTCACGATGTTTCTTTAAAACGAATTTGCTGTCTTCAATGGTGCTAAAGGCGTCCAGCAATCATTTTCCAGGTAACGAATTTTCGTCTCCTACGGAAGCAGCACTGCAATCTGCAGGAGTTCCAACAAACTCAATGAAATGTGTTTTACTTCGAGACAATATCAGAACGAGAGAGAGGGGAATGAGATTCAAAGTACCGAAAGTTTGCAATGAAAATGGTGTGAATTTTCTGGTAGAGAGACAGACTATTTATAGACTTGTTTGTGGCCATTCGAACAGTCATCACCTTTCAGACAAACTTCAAAAACCCGGAATAAGCCAAAAATTTAAATTTCATAATGTACCCAAGAATTTGATTATTTACAATTTGGCCCAAAATTTTAAATAAATTTTGTCCAAAAAGTTAATATAGTGCAAAGGTCCACACGCACCCAGACCTGAATCGAACCGGACTCGGACACGGACACGGACACGGACACGGACACGGGCACGTGCTCGTGCCATGCCGTGCCGGCCGGTCGGACGGACGACAGTGGCGCGTGCGTGTGGGTTTATGACCGAACCCAATAGGATATAGGTCTTCCCCCTTCCAAAAACTATTGGTACCCCTTTGAGCCCAAACCTAATTTCAAACTTCCACCTTATAAACCACACCAAACTCTCCTAATTTTTCCATGTGGGATAAGTGTTTGGAAAATCAAATTCTTCCATAATACTTAGTTTATGTGGGTTATTTTAACACTTAGTATTTCATTCAATTTTAAATGGTTTTCGACAAATAAATATATCACATTAATCATCTCGCGAAGTAGAACGTGAATATGCTAGGTCCCATATTAATTAAAAGGTGGGTCCTACTGAAATTTTGGCTCAAAATTGACCCATTTCATAACCATTTTTCCAACAATCCTCCACATGAATGAAATATGTTGGCCTTTTTCCAAACGATAACATCTGATATGTTTTTCAAAGAAAAAAAATTGAAGAAGACTGCATCGGGATAAGTAGTCAATGACTTTGAACTTTCCCTAGTAAAATCTATCGGATTTCCTTAACCAATCAGTAGCAAGTTGCTATGAACAGTCAGTCGTTTACGGAACCTAAACAATAGAAGTCACACAATTTTCTTCAAACACAGTTGGTTCTCACGTTTGTATCCATTTTGGCCTAAGACACCTCTTGGTTCATGAGTGGTTTTTAGAGAATTCATCATCACCTAATTCTCTTAGAAGCGGCTCCTTTTCACTCACATAGGTGATTTCCATAAAGAGTATTCTGCTATACTCCACTTGAACGAATCAAGATATAGAAATCATTAAAAGCGCATCTTAACCTATTTCTCGGCAGCTGGGCACTAGCTCATCATAGGAATGGGTACAAGTAAAATGTTCCCAGTGCATACTAAGTTTTTCACAGTTCGGTTGTCCCATTGAACCTAGATCTTGGGATCTCCAGTTAACTAGGTTGGGTTGCCACTATGAAAACTTTTGATTATTTTATTAGTTTTTATCTCATCCCCTTCGATGAACTTTCGACTTGCTCTCTTGTTAAACTTTTAGTTAGCAGATCCGTAATATTCTCTTTTGCTTTCATATACTCTATAGAGATAATGCCTGTAGAGAGCAATTGTCTAACAGTATTGTGTCTACGATGTATATGTCGAGATTTACTGTTATAAATTGCATTTTGTGCCCTACCAATTATTGATTGACTATCGCAATGGATACATATAGCAGGCACAGGTTTTGTCCAACATGGAATATCTCCTAGAAAGTTTCATAGCCATTCGGCTTCTTCTCCGGCTTTGTCTAATGCAATGAATTCAGATTCCATTTTTGATCTAGCTATACATGTCTGTTTTGAAGATTTCCATGATATTGCAGTACCTCCAAGTGTAAAGACATATCCACTTGTTGATTTGGAGTCTTTAGTATTTGATATCCAATTTGCATCACAGTATCCTTCAAGTACTGCTGGGTATCTCGAATAGTGCAATCCAAAATTTTGGATATGTTTTAAATACCCTGAAACTCTAACAATAGCTTTTCAATGATCAGTGCTTGTATTACTTGTATATCAACTTAGCCTACTAATTGAATAGGCAATATCAGATCGAGTGCAATTCATGACATATATTAAACTGCCAATAATACGAAAGTATTCCAATTGAGACTTACTATCACCAGTATTGGAAACAAGATGCATACTAGCATCCATAGGTGTTTTCATAGGAATAATATCATATTTCTTGAATTTATTAAGAATCTTCTCAATGTAGTATGATTGAGATAATATGAGACCATCAGATGTTCTAGAAATTTTAATTCCTAATATAACATCGGCCACACCTAAATCCTTCATTTCAAATTTACTTGTTAGCATCCTTTTTGTAGTTTGAATTATGGTATCATTGTTACCTATAATCAACATATCATCTACATATAAACATACCATGACATATCCATTTGGAGTGTTCTTGACATAAACACATTTGTCACACTCGTTAATTTTGAAATCATTTGACATCATAACCATGGCAAAATTTTCATGCCATTTCTTAGGAGCTTGCTTTAATCCATATAGTGATTTAACAAGTGACACACTTTTTTTCTTGTCCTGAGGCCACAAATCCTTCAGGTTGCTCCATATAAATTTCTTCATCTAATTTCCCATTCAAAAATGCCGTTTTAACATCCATTTGATGTATATCCAAACCATTCAATGCTGCTATTGCAATAAGCATACGTATGGAAGTGATTCTTGTTACAGGAGAATAGGTATCGAAATAACCAAGACATTCTTTTTGCTTATAGCCTTTAGCGACAAGTCTTGATTTATATTTGTCAATTGATCCATCTGCTTTTATTTTTCTTTTGAAAATCCATTTACATCCCAAAGGCTTATTACCGGAAGGGAGGTCTACTTATTCCCAAGTATGATTTTGTTGTGTGGATTCAATTTTACTATGAACAGCTTCTTTCCAACATGAAGCTTCAGTTGATGACATAGCTTCTTTAAAACTTTAAGGTTCATTTTCTAACAAATATGTTAGAAAATCAGGCTCAAAGGAGGTTGACGTCCTAGCTCTCTTACTTCGT